TCAAAGCATAATTCAATTGTTCTTATTAAATGTTGTTTTATTAATAATATTTGTCTGTTGGGTCGCTGCAAAGAATTGAAATATGTCTTGGCCATTTGATGCGTTTCCTATTTAAAGGCAAAGCCATTCATTAACTTAAGGAGACTGCAGTGTCCATCAAGGACTCAAGTTTTCAATTGTTTGGCTGTTCATTTGCAATGCATTTACATAGCAAACATTTTATTAGGGAAATGGTACGCCCTCCTGTCTGGCCGAAAGTGCCATCGACTGGTATATGTTTTCTACGGCTTCCAAGGCAGCAGCGTCATTTGCATTTAAATATGGAAAGCACAAGCACACACACACACACACACACACACAGACGTCGACGCCAAATGCAATGCAATTTATCAAGTATATCAAATGAATTAGTTAAATATTATGTTATCAAATTAAGTGGCACGCACATGCTGCACATTGTGCTCGACAAGCTCGACAAGCCGCTGCACATTGCCCCGCAATGTCAGCATAAATTTCACTTAACATTTCATACGACAACAATAAAGGAGAGAGGGGAGAGGAGGAAGGGCAGGAACCGGGCGGCGGACTCGATTCCAATACCAACTCTCTGCGAAACTTCCTTGGCCGTGGCATTCTCAAGTCGCATATCTAAAGTCAAATTACGACGAAAGCAGCAAATTGTCAGAGACAGCCAACTAACCGCACATGCCAGACAAACCGACAGTCAGATGGTTGGAGGGTCGAACAGGCAGATAGACGGATGGCCAGATAGACAGAGGGACGGATAGACAGACAGTGAGCTGTTCCAAGTTCCAATAATTTACAACGCCCTGTGTAATTTGCATGTCTGCTGCATGCTGCATGTTGCATGTGTGTGCATGAGTGCGTGTGTGTGTGGCAAGCACAGTTCAAATGCTAATCACCACATGACATTCATTGTCTGTGAAACAATTGAAATCAGCTAACACGCTGAAATCAGTATGAATTGTATTACGTGCCCGCGGCAATGCGTCGCTCCAACCAAACACATGGTAGCCCCTCCTCCCTCCCACCCCGCCACAACGCCTCCTATTGCCTTTGCCTAATGCGGCATGCGCAGACCAGAGCTCAGTGCCGTTGCTGGCTACTCGTACGTCTTCCTAACGATGTTGAGCTTCAATTGAAATAGTCGAGCCATAGAAACGGGCGAAATGGCAGCATTCCTTGGGTACTCGAAGCAACCACTCTCATTCGCAGAAGCAGACAACTCGTATTGAATCCGCAGTATACAGCAATTATTAAGCTCTATGTAATACGCTGCACCAATTAATTAACTAAATCATTAATTATACTTACATATGTTAAAGAACTCTACCATCTTCATAGCTGATCAAATATCGTGCTCGCCAATACAATTTTGAATGGGCATTGCTTGTAGTTGAAATACGTAAATAATAAATGTTACACTTGACTAAATCATTTTAAAAATGTACATAAATAACTCAATAAAAATGAATTGAGATTGCATGAAAACCAATATCAACTTTATTTAAATGCATAAATAGCTAAGTCGTAGTAATTCTTTTTCTGTGTGTACTTAAAAATATTTCCAAGTTCCCTCAACAAACATACAAATCAATTGATGAATCAAGTTTGTAGATATATAGGTGGATTTTATTAATTATTAAATAAGTAGTAATAAGGTAGAAATATTTCTTATTGTACGCAGAAATAACAAGCACTTTGTGTGATTTGACTCATTCAAAATATTCGCAGAGTTTAATCATTTCTCTCTTGCCTTCAAAAATGTGGCCAAAAGGAAACAGAATTCGATTTTAATACAAATTGAATTACAAAACGCTTGTACGCCTCAACACCGCAAATATTTATTTTTAAATATTCATAGCTATGGGAAAAAAGCGTACTTTTTTGTTTCAAAGAAGTGCAAATATAATGTTAAAACAGAAGAAATAAAATATCTTTTTGTAGTAAAAACTGAATCCGCATTATGAGAAATTCAAAACTATGTATAAGTATTAAGATAAATATTTTTTGGGGCTAAAAGCAATTCCTCCAAGTATTTGCCTCGACTTGTAACAACATTTAACATAAATATTTTTTCACATTTCCGCAATGCGGTTGATCCTTCAAAAAGGTGTTGTTAAGCAAAAATAAGATAAGACTGTAAGAAGCGAGAGTTTCCAATAAAAAAATGCTAGAGTCAATTGAATTATTAATAACTAGGCATAGTTTAGAGAATGGAAGTGAAGTGGATATAATGCAATTGATTGCTTGCTTGATCTCTTTAAACTCAGCACAGGCTGACAATGTGGCGTCCATTTGGTCAGGCTGCCAGGATGCATGTACTATATAGTATATGTATGTGTGTAAGTATCGGTGTGGCGTACTTCTGTGAGTGTATGCAGCGGTCTGTTTGCTGGTCAGTCAGTCAGTCAGTCAGTGAGTCCATAGTCTATACGTGGTCTGTCTATATGTGCGTGTAGTCTTGTTGTCCTGTTGATTTCCTGCAGCTGTGTGTGTATTTGTATGTGTATTCCTGTTCCTGTTGTTTCTGGTGAGTAATGTCCGCATGTCGCTTCACGAATGCTTAGCTCGCTATTGTCCCCTTTGTCTCCTTTGTCCATTCACTGTGCACAGTAGGCCGGCGTGTTTGTGGCAGTGATTTTTTTTCGGCACACCGAACCACAACGACAACAATAACAATAACAACTACAATAACAAGAGTCGGCGACCAACTAAGCAACCAAGCGACCAGACCGACCATATTGCGTCATTATGTTGAATTGCTGAGCGCAGCAAATTAGCATGCAGCAAACATGTGTTGCTGTCACTCGAATGCCTCCGCCCCCTTTCCCACCACCCTACTTGTATACTCGCATATAGTATGTTTGTCTCTATAGTATGTGTGGGTCTTTATGTGTGTGTACTTCAAAGTTAAGTATGTCACATTAAATGATACGCAACACTTGACACCAAAATATGTTGAGGGGAGCAGAAAAAACACTAAACCAAACGTTGAATTATGGCGCGGGGCATAACACACACACCAACACACATACGAACATTTCTTCCTGTAAGGATGTAATAGTGTTGCGCAAGAATGAACAGATCGTGACTCAATTGTGGTGATTGTATAGTAGTAGCAGTCGTTTGTAGTTAATGCTTTTCCCTGCAACTGCTGTGCTGCATCTTTATCTACATTTCCCAAAAATATTATGACTTTGTTGCTCTTCTCACCATCTTTTCAATGCTGTCCACCATATACATTTCATTTACTATTGTAAAACCATAATAAATTGAACCATAGCTGAATAATCTGTAAAAATTCTATATTTAAAAAAATATTACATTAACTCTTCACACAATATATATAAGCGGGATTGAGAACACTATAAAGAAAAACCCCAAAGTTCCTTAGGATATTATTATCATTTTTTGAAAATATATTTGATATATAATATATTAATAAATAGTAAATACATTTTTTATATAGAAACACTTAAAAACGAAATCACATTTGTTGTTTAATGTGTTACTTTCGCATCACATTACTAAAGCACAGGGATTGAAAGATTCCCATTTTCCTCAACACTACCATGTACATATGTGTATGGGTATGTATGTATGAATGTGTGCGTGTGTGTGTGTGTGTATGTTTGGGTGTATGTGTGCATGCATGTAAGTTACATTGGCAGCCAGCAGTGTAAGGCAAGGCAATTGAATGTAGGGGACTGGAACGGAGGCAACAGCAGCAACAAAGTCGAACAAGAAATTTACTTTATTAATGACTCGTTAGCAGAGTGCGCTCTTCTTCTTCTTCTTCTTCTTCTACTACTTACTCCCCTGTTTGTTGTTGTTTTTGTTTCACTATTGTTGCTGCTGTTTCTATAGTTATAGCAGTTGTTTTTGCTGCTGTTGCTTTTGCTGTTCTACGGCAGAGTGGTGGGAAATATTTTGTTGCATACTGCAAGGAGCAACGACAATGCACACATGCACACATGCACACACACAGACGCACTCAAAGAAAAATCAATAGAGGGCAGAGCTAGAAGCTACTTAGCAGAGAGCGGAGAGCAGAGCAGCTCGAGTTTGAGTTGCAGCTGCAGCTGCAGCCACAGCCGCAAAGTATGCAATAAAATTTTCGTTAAATGAATTTAAATCGCTTTGAACGCGGCGCGCATTGCGTATACGTACCGTGTGCAAAAAACAAACAAACAAACAAACAAACAAACAAAACAACACGAAGAGAAATGAATGAAATGAAATGTGTGAGCAAACAGCAAAGACGGGCAGCGAACTGTGAAAATGCTATGTGCGTGCAAGGGTGCGGTGGGAGTGGGGGTGTGGGTGGGGTTGGGGGCTGTTGTTGGTTCTCGGCGGGGTGGTTGTCAATGTTGTTGTGGAAGTAACGAAACATATGTATGCAAATAGCTGGAGCAACAAATCGTACAAAAATCTAAGACAGCAGACGGAAGTTGATTTCGAGTTGGCCCTCGGGACGTTGGGGCGCCAAGTACAAAAAAACGAACCAGACAAGAAGGTACGAGTATGAGACAATCGGAGGGTACAAAATAAATTTATACACACGTATATACGTATACTTATACTTATATTAAGAGAAAAGACAAAGGTTAGAATAAACAAACACTCTGACAAATAGACCAGGCAACCAAAAAGGCAGGCAAGCAAACATTAAAAAATATGCCAAGAAGTGTAGGGTCGCCGGCAATTTTCGTTATTGTTATACGTATTGTTTTAGTTGTTGTTGTTGCTGTTGCTGTTGCCGTGCCCGTTGAACTTGTAACCCCGGCGAAGAGTTTAACAAAGTGAAAAGGTGGCAGAGGAAGTGAATGCGGATGTTGGGAGACAGACAGGAACGTGTTTAAGTTTAAATTCGTTTGCCAGCCAAGTGTTCACACTTGATGTCTAGTCGTTACTTTGCCTCACACATCAGATTAGCCAGAAGTTAACATTTCGAGAAGCGTCACATTCCACCGCCCAATCAGTCACAATACATTACAATCCTATTTAGCACACACAATTGCCTTTTCCCTTTTTTTGTTTTTAGACAGACTAAAATTTTTACAGCCACTCCAAAAGCGACAAGAACAAAGCATGGCAAGAGCCAAACTGCGACCGTCCACCACGAAAATCAAGTATCTGGGAAAACAGAAGCCACCCATGCAATGGCAAGCGACCTCGCAACTGCACTCGAAGAGTCGTGACCCGAAGAAAAAGAAGTTGCCATCTAAAGCACCGCGTCGCTCTTCACCGATAATGCGTAGTAAGAAAGCTCCGTTGTCCGTGTCACCGCTGACTGAGGGTATTCTCAATACGCGCCATAAAATCCGCAAGATCGTGACCAGTCAGGTGGCCAAGAAAAAAAAAGATGCCTGGACTAACCAGCCATATAAGCATCAACAGCTGACCAGCGTTGGAGTGCAGCTGCAACGCAAGACGGCAAAGACCCTGAAATCTGGCAAGGCTGGCAAGACTGCCAATACTGCAATGACGGGAAAGTCTGTGAAGGCGTTGGTAAGTGTTGTAATTAAAACAACGGAACAAAAAGTGCCTTTCCACAAAAAAAAGCCTTCATCATTTTGCAAAAGTTTAAGCCAATCCAGATAAGTACAAAATTTTGCAAACGGATTTCGAAAGTTTGTCTTGAAGTAAAGAGGCAATTATTTGCTAAAAACAATAAATCATGGACTACTTGAACAATTTGCAGACTTTGTTTGCCAATTTTTTGCTTATTAGTTTATTATATAATTCAATTAAATATATCCCACAGCGCAAACATAAACGCAAGATTCAGCATACGGATCCCAAAACTGCAGGCACGCCAGTTCTGTTTCTTGTAAAGGATACGCCAAAGCGCAAGACGCATCATCATCAGCTGCAGCTAAAGCAGCTAAGGCGCGATCAGCAACAGCACCAGCAGGAGCACGAGCAGCAGCAATTGAAGCTCCATAAGCTGCAAAACCAGCAACGTCAGCTTGACCAGCTGCGCGGAGCACTCTACGAACGCAATCCACGCTCCATGCCACCCCGCTCGCAGCCACACAATGTCATGGAATTCTTCTCCAATATGGGCCAACGTCTGCCCAAGACGCTACCGCCTAGAGATACGCGCATGAGCCCTGTCGAGCCATTTGTGTGCGATGCAGAGATGCAGCAGCGACAGCGCTTGCAGGTACCCTTGAGCAGTCGTCTGCCCATCATAGACTTCATTTCCACGCAAGAGTTCCAAAACATGCGCATGGCCTCTAAGCGTCCGCGTTTCGTATAATAGAGAGAGAGAGAGAGAGAGAGAGAGAGAGAGAGAGAGAGCGAGAGAGAAAGATGAACAATACCAGCGAGGAAAAGAAAGAAAAAGGTGAAGAAACTATTGGAGATGAGAGGATGGATATAACCAGATTGGATGTCCACTGAAGTTCGCTTAATAGAGAGAGAGTGAGCGAAAGATGAAGCGATCGAATAAGAGGTATTTTGGGGAATGGATGGGTTGAACCCGACTGGATGTCCACTTAACCTACGAATTTCAAGCAAAATAGAAAGAGAGGAGGATGGACGAAGAGAGAATGAGAAAGAACAACACAACTAATTAGGAAGAGATCATGGAGAAGGAGTGGTTTGTTGTCTGCAAAGCCTCAGCATATCACACACTAGAGGGAGAGAGCGATGGAGAGAAGAACGAGAGAAATAGGAGAAGGTTTTATGAAATGAGTGGATGTGTTCAGCCAGATTGTATAGTATGTCTCTGCCGCTTTCGGCTACTTTAAAGAAATTTTATGTGTAAGGGAAAATTTTCATTTGATTTTAAGATCTTTGAAATAGACGAAATTTCCGAAAGTAACCCATTGCGCAAATTATCTGCGTTGCGTTTATTGGTCATTTCAAATTTTTTCGCTACTATACTTTTTTTTTTTTGGTTTGTAATATGATTCGGCTTTAAGGAACAAAGAGACCAAAGACCGAAAACAAATTCAAGCCGCGCAAACAAATCGCAAAACTTTTGCAGACGCTCCCATGAACCCGCGACTTGACGCAGTTGTAAAAGTTCAGCCGGAAAAACTTTGCTGCGAAATCTTTGCGCTGGCAAGTACTACGACCAAGACCAAGAGTCTTAAAATGCACGGGAATCTTGCAGCAATTTACGGCTTTTCTTAGGCTACAAAACCAACTTCAAACGCAGACGCGATACGAACCGACCGACGCGACGCGACGCGACGTTTGCCCGTCCACAATCTCCTTATTGTCCCTGCTGTCCACCCCACTGTTCTCGACTGCCGTTTGGTCACCCGCTGGCCTGCTGTCCCGCTAGCCAGCTCTCCGGGTCGCTGATTCGGAAGCCAGGCAATTGAGCCAGAGCGCAAAGTATGCAGCATGAATTTGTTGTTTTTAGTTTTTCGGCTTGTTTTCATTTTCGTGTTGGCGAATTTGCATTCGCGAGCTGCGGCCAGGGCAGGACATGGACAGGGACAAGGCTTTCCTTTGGACAGGGACAGGGACAGGGACAGGAGGTGCATTCAAGTCCAACAGGGGTGACTAGCAGTTCAAGCAGGCTAGCCTAGCACAAGCTGGATGGCAAGCAATGACGATGGCAGCTTCTGCGGCTTTTAACCGCAAACCAAACGGAAATTGAGATTCATTTAATTCATTGTGCGCGACTGCTTGGCGAAATGGGACGTAGTCGGGACGTTGACAGCACCACCGTCACCGTCACCGCCAGCCAGCCGAGGCACAACTACAAAAAGGACGATCCTGACAGCTTGTGGGCCAAAACATAATCAGCAAGCTGAAGGCAGCGAGCGAGAATGGCGCCGGCCACGGCCACAATTCAAATGTCAGCAACATTTAAATGACTGAGTCCGGGCAACGCCTCGCTTATTTTTATGATTTCGCCATTATAATTTGACGCTGCACTGTGCCTCCGATAAGTCTTGAACGAACTCGCATGTATGAACTTTAGTAAATTGGAAAGCAACTCTTTCGTTTAATTTTGTTTCATGCTCATCAGGTATTTTATAAGACTCTTAATTATATTAAAAATCATTGAATTATTCTGTTTTGAAGGCTTAAGTCGAGGAATCATCCTTATTTTCTTTCCATCTGATACAAAGAAACAAGAAACGTTCTTTGCCTGCAAAACTTAAATTACTTTTTTCTCTAACCATTAACAGTTCTCTAACAATTAATAGTTTTAATTTTTGATGCAAACTCTTTAATTGTTTAAAGAGAATATATAGTAAATGTTATATGTAAAACATAATACATATCTGCAATCACCAAACATTTACATATTTCGGTTTGTTGTCCACTGTTGGCCGTCTCGTTCAATGGGTTCTTATCTTGTTTTATTGGCCTCAACGGTCTTATTGCACTTAACCTAAGACTTTCTACTGTCATTTCCTATCGAGCGCTTTAATTTGACAATTACTTTCAGGGCAGGACCTGGTATCGGTCCTAGTCCTAGTCCTCTACTCTGCTCTGCTCTGGCGATTGTTGCAGCTGCTGCATTCATTTACAGCTTCGACTGCGGCTGCCGCTGCCGCTGCGGCTCCAGGGTGTGCAAATTTGCCTTTCGCACGATTTCATTTTGAATTGCGCATAATAATTTGAGCTTGGGCGGAGCAGGGTTGAGCAGAGGAGAGCAGGTGGGGGTTGGTTGGCTTTCAATTGGGAACGCTTCTGTTCGATTTAGAATCGTGCAGTGGGAGCGTGTTAAGTGCAAATGACAGACGAGTTCCAAAACACTCTTTTCGCCTCTTAAACTAGGTGTCTGGGTTACGAGTGCTAAGCGAAGGTTATTTTGAATCATAAGTAAGCAAGTAACTCAAACTATATTTGAATGTTTGAACGAATTTCGATTTTGAATAATGTTGTGCATGTCACCATGTTGTTGGAACTTCAAAAAAACTAAAGGATTTGAATACAGGTACGATTAGATAGAGAATAAAGGACAGTCACCAGAAAGTAAAACAAGGATTACATTTCGGGACAGCATTATGGGATGGGATGGGTTACTCAACTCGAAAATGATTTTCCAATCATCTGCCATATTTAGCTCGACATATTTTCAAAAGTCTCGGAATTTCAAATCGAGTTCCGCATCCGAGCTGATTCGGAATTTGTTTGAAAATTGCTCAGAGTATATTTATGTTAAGTGGTTTACACTAAGTGTATAGTTAAATACTTGTATGTATTACAGATATTATTTGTGTAAAATTAGTCAAAACTCCGTTTTGAAATTGCTACGAAAATGGTTTAGGTTCTTGTTAGAATATTGTTTATGGGCCGATATTGTGGAGGTTTGTATATAATTTTTAAAGAGTTTTGAAATTAAACTATAATATTCCATACTGAAGAGTAGCTTAAAAACTTTGGCAGAGTAAAGCAACCATGCTAGTTCATTTATGTAATTAGCAATTTCCATTAGTACATCAATTAATAGAAATTTGTATAACGATTTCGACTATCGTTTTCTATTTGAAATGTAATAGCCTTTTGCTAATTTTCGCCGAATTGATTTTGACTACGATGTGTATTCATATTCAGTATTCATTTATAATTTAAATATACGCCCCATTCCCACATTATACGTTCGAACGTGTTCACGTTTTTGCAGTTCATCGCTTTAAGCTGATGGCTGGTCACAAATGTAGCTTAAAAAGCGCCACGGAAACACATTTATGCAAGCAAAAAACGCACATAAGGCACACCGATTGGCGATATTGGCAATATGCAAATGGGCCAAATAGGACACAGGAGTGGAGCACGCAAGGCAGGCAACTTGATGGCGATGGGGGGAAGGGGAAGGGGGAGGGGGAGGAAGCAGCTTAGAGGAAAAGACAGTTGGCAGCGTTCCGGGAGGCAGCATTGCGTGTGCTTAGAGCCTTAAATGCACAAAACCAACTTAATCATTTTAATGGCGCACAATGAACTGTTTTCCCAATTATGCAACAGCTATGGCAGCCCACAAGTGTCACTTTAGCATAACAGCTCCTCCCTGTGTGTGTGTGTGTGTGTGTCTATGTGCGTGCAAGTGTGTGTGTGTGTGTGTGTGTGTACATGTCGACCTGCTTATTGAACGCAATTTAATCTGACACAGTTTTGCAAATGGTGCCAGCAAACGGTAAGCGGCAAATTGCCTGAAACCTTACCTCTATATGGACGTGCTTGTGCACCCGCACATAAGTGCAAACCTATATGTGTGCACCAGCATATCCATATGTGTATATATATATACATACATGTGTGTGTGTGTGTGTTGCTCATATGTGCGCGTTATCTGCTCTCCAACTTTCCTTTTCAAGTGGCCACGCGACTTTGTTAATTAGGCAGCCCTCTGGCGATTGACCCACAAAATAAAACAGCGATACAGATTTTCTCGCACACAGACTCTGCCCACATACGAGTATGCAGCCCAGAGAGATAAAGTTTTTGGTTAAGCTTGAGGCCGATTATAAAACACACAACAGGCAACTGAAATGAGAACACTCGACTTCGGAATACACTATGAATAATTCATTTCTACGCAGTATAAACATCCCTTTTTTTTAGCTTTTCCTAAAAGCATTTATAATAAATCCAATCAAGTTAGCTCCACTAACATATCGAAACCAGGCATACAAATGATAATAAAAAGTCGATAAAAACGACAAATTGTTGTTATGAATACTTTTCAAGAACTTTACTTAAAGGCCTTCGTTTCTTTAGAAAAGCGAATCACATTGTAATTAACTATTAATTCAAAGTTACAATTATCTAACTAAATAATTCGATTGCATTTTCTAAAATATTGCTTGCCGTTTTGAAAAGAAAATCTATTCTTTAGAAGAATAGAAAGAAATAGAGCTTTGAATACAACATTCTCGTCGCCTTATGCTTTGAAGAAGTTAAACAAAAGAATCTATCGGAAATTGGAACTATTTAATAATTTCAGACTCATTTGAAATTGTTTGACAGATTCTGCTTCCCGAACGCTAATATTTAAGTTTCTTTATGCTCCGAAATTCAGATCGTTTTCTGCTCATATCTAAGAGAGGGTCAAGCAGATCCTGAAATTAAGAATATGCTCAAGTTTGAAAATTCATCCTCGATTTCAGATTTGTACTTAAATACAAATTTCTGACTAGCTGCTGAGACATAAAAATAATCAAAATAACAACAGGGATATTTTCTCACTCCTGTCATGATTGTTTTTAGCAAACTGCAGACGTTTTCACCACACCGGAAGAGTGGTAAAAAGTAAAAGACAGAGTTCAGAGTTCAGGTTAAAGAAAATGCAACTTGCAGATATGACGGCGCTGACGAACAGCAGACTGAGAGTCATAATTCCTTGGTTGCAAGGGTATAAAGGACAGACAACAAAATGATGGCAGAAGAGGTCAAAAGTGCAAAATCGAAAAGCAATGCGGGCGCCAAAAAAGGAACAGCAACAAGAGGAAAACAAAGAGCCAAAAAGGGACAAGCGAAAAGCATTTTGAGGTGACCTCGACCCAGTGCAGTGCAGTGTTGGCTGCGCCTTTAGTGACGGGTGCTGGTTATGGCGATGGCGATGGCGATGGCAATGGCGATGGGGGCAGCGTTAGGACTATAACTTTTTTATCGTGATTTCAGTTTAGCTCCATTGTTGTTTCAGTTGTTGTCCTGTCTCTGCTGCTTCTGTTGTTGTTGTTGTTGTTGTTGCTGCTCAGCTTCAGTTTGGTTTGGTTCGGTTTGGTTCGGTTCAGATGCCAGTTATCGCAATCGCAATTGCTATCCATTTCATTTACCGCAGGACAAATTTTTATTGCAGCATCGTCGGCCCATGTGGGCGTCGAGGGCAGTGCGAGGAGGGCCAAGGCGTGGTCA